AAACGCTTTAAAGCTGTTGTGCCTCTCAGGTTTAGCAAAGAAAACATTGCCCCCCAATTGGTGCTTACACGAGTCACAATCGAGAGTAATATCTAACAAACCAGCAACCAATATCTAATAAATGTCCATCAACGACTATCAGCAGTTTAAAGGTGGCACAATGAAATCAGAAATATTATTAGCAAATTACCAACCATCCCGCAAACAACTAACAGGGCGAATTGGTGGCCGGGGTGTGGCTTGGAAAACCAACGCTCGGGAAGTATTGTTCAGCCGCCAAATGCTCAACACATGGATTCTTGTCCTTCTGACTTTGGAGGATTCAACAAAAACCCTCACAAAACCCTAAGAAGGGGGCGAATTACCGTCAACAAAAAGACACTCCCCCAAACATGCTCGGGGTTCTGAGCAAGCGCGCAGCACGTGCCACTGAACAACTACAAATGGGACCTTTTCTTAATTTGAAAGTTCGCCCATGTTCCCCCCCGCCCAAATTTTGGCGTGGTATTTCATGGTTGTTTCAGGTTACCGCCCTGTTTTTAATGCCTTTGGCCCCCAGAAGCAGTTTTCTGTAGAAAACCTGGTTTTGGATATGCTGCGTGAATTCGTGAGGGGTGTCGTTATTTTCGGGATCTCCAAAACTACTTTCCATTGTTCCGATGGGCCAATTATGACACATAATCAACAACAATATATAATATAACTATACAGTATATGTATTCTATGTGCATATATATATATATATCATTTGATTCCCCATTTCTCCCGGGCAGGAGTAGTGTGGGGTGTCTTTTTGGCGGGAACCGGACACATTCTTGGAAAACAAACAACTGCATCCTGTTGGTTTTAAAGGGGAGCCCAAAAACCGAAAGCCTCTTGCGCCTTGGCGACTGGGACTCCCTGCCTACACCGATGATCTCAGGCGCCTAGCCGAGCAATCCGACGCGAGGCCTGGTGCAAAGCCTCAGGGTTGAAGGACTATACTGGGCTGCCCATTTTGGGATTTCCCGCTAAAAGTTTAACTTTTCGTAGGTGAAAAGTGGAAATCCCCATTTAAACACTAAACGGCTAAAAAGTTGAGGAACCGGATGGCTGGGAGCCACCAAGAATACTATAACATATGAAATGGGGGTGACTTCCTCGTTGGCCCTTCAGGCTGTTTGCAGGTACAACACACCATCCTTTTTGGGCGCCTTAACAGAACAAATGTATCCAAAGATACCTACACAGAGTCACAATACCCTGACAACGCTGCTAAATAACATGTTTAGTCTCCAGGCTTCGGGCTTTACAAAAAGGAGGGGGGTTGTAGCACTAATCAAAGGAAACAAAACCCTTCAAACCTGCAATGGAAGGCAAGTTGATGCGAGATTACAAGGAATCTACTGAACCATGATAGACTACAGGCTTTCCCTTGTGCCCTACTTGCCGTGTTGTTTCTCTGACTTTGTGCACACATGCTGTGGATGGAAAAATATTGCACCAGCTGGGATGGATGAAACCCTATGAACACTACAGCAAAACACATATCAACCGGTGCAGGATTTTTGTCCATCCACAGTAGGGGATATCCGGAAGTCACCCACCTCCACCAGTATACCATCAGCTGCAGATTTCGGCACAGCAAAAGGAATCTTCTCTGCCAGCAAGGTTTTAGAATCCTGCTCCCATCTGATGGGAGTGCAACCGCTGCAGCGTGATCCTTTAGGAGCAGACATGCAACGCTGCGCCGCTTCCAGCTCAAAGGAAGGCGTGGAGGTGAGGGCGGCTTGTCATACTGGTCGGCTTCAATGGCCCGCACGGCACACTTTTTGTACATGCACATCTGCGCATGTTTGGCCCTCTCTCCATGAACCAACCTATGACTGAGCTGTGTTCGACGTTTGGGGGAGCATTTGTTTTTATTACTGTGTTGCTGAACAATGCGTGGTTAGCCTGGCAATTTGTGACCATTTGCCATCCGGAGCATTGGCTGAAGCTCATTGTACCCTATACTGATTCAGAGGCGCACCATTGCAGCCAAGTGGAGACTATCTGCGAAAATAGTGACTATTAGGTGCCATGACCTTCCCACGGCTCGCCTCGTTGTGGCTTAATCAATATCGGATTCTTAGGGGCAACTGCAAAACGGTTGCAAACATCTCAGATTGTGCGAGAGATAGGGTTGCCACCGAGCCAAACTGTACAACCCAAGTTCCGAACAAGCGAATCGACCCGGACCTCGCCTGCGGCGCTTCTGGTACGCATTCCTTCAGCACTTCCTCCAGCTGATGCGAGAACTCAAGCCAGTCCACCTGATCCAAATGGGGCGTGCCGCAAAATGGACTTGGGTGTGGGTCAAAAATAGGTACCCAAAAGGGAACCCTGGTAAATGGAACCAAGGACTAAAACCTGTGGCCCATTGGACACGATCTACCATCCACTCCAGGATACGCAGAACTTGACTGGAATGGTCAATTGACCCCTCCGCAAAATATGAACAACGAGTTGCTTGTTCGTGGGGGAACTTGCGTCAAACATCAAGAGGGTCAAGGTCAAAGAGCTTAAACCCCAAGCCTTCTTTTGGCCAAGTTTCACTTGGCCAACTCACAAAATTCCGGTAAAACTGGGTCAAGGAAGGCCAGGAGAACCAAACTAAATGGTTATGGGGCATAACCTATGGCTCCATTTTGGGTTGGATGAATATCCTTTTGCCACCTATTTTGAAGCTCACCATGGGTTTCCTGGGTTTTGACCGGCCAAATGTGAGCTGACAAGCTCACCGCGCACTGGACGGGGCCTGGGCCGGGGCCAAAGCCTGGGCGCGTGCCGCGCCGTGGCCCAAGATGTCCAGGGCCAGCAGCTGCAAGGACGCCACTCGCCAACTCAGCACCTGGCTATGGAGGTGACAAACAGAAGTAGGTAGCATGGGAAACATGGCCATGGCTCAAAATCCAAATCGGTTAGGGGGAAACATGGCCATGCCTCAACATTTAAATCCAAATCGGTTAGTTCCCAGTGAACGGGACCCAATCCAACCACTAAAATAGGTTCTAACATGGGTGGTGAATTCACCTAGCCCAAAATGGTACCATTGGTTTTGACCCACAGCCATATCTGGTATGGATGTGGCTCAAAATGAAACAGCTGGGGTTGCGCAGGTTTTGGTCCATGTTTCCACTTACCAGGGTTTGATTTTGGGTACCAACTGTTGAGCCACAGCCACATGGGAAATATCTTTCGACCTACTGCGTGTGGACCAAATCCTGCACCGCTTTGAAACCATGGGAAGCCATTTGTTTGTTGGCATTTTCAGGGGAATCATCCTTCCAGGGATTCTTAGGTGGTGCAGGATTTCGTCAATCACAGTATCATAATTACCAGAACCGCAACTGGCTTTCGTTTTGTAGCTTCTTCAGTACTTTGGGGCAGAGAAAAGGCGGAGTGGATCGCTTGGGGTTCCGTTTGCCAGCTCGGCTTGGGAGTTGGCTCAGTCTCCGTCTTCGGTGACCCAACAGCACCCCAAGTTGGACATCCCAAAAGGAACCCTTTTGGAAGAAACCCAAAGGAAAACTCAAAAAGGAAACTCAAAAAGGACAACTCACAAGGGAAAATGCAAAAGGGGAAACGCAAAAGGGGAAACGCCCTTCTGACCCTTGGCCGGCCACCCGCTTTTAAGCCAAAAGGCCTCCGGGCGTGGAGTGGCCACGGGCTGCAGCTTGGCGCCCAGCAGGCGCGCCAGGTCGTGCGCGAAGGGGGACCACACCTCCTTGCAGAGGCCTCGCTGGGATCGATTGCCTTGTTGGATCGTTTTGGACTAAAATGGGTGGTGCAACTATCCAAAAATGGGATGCCATTGGTGTTGACCCACAGCCATATCAAAGGGCCTTGGTGATGGTGCTGGATCGAAAGCCGTGGAATTCACAAGTCCAAATTGGATGTGAAACTGCATATACGGGCTCAGTGGAACCCCTTTGGCTGTTTTTTGATTTTCCCCAAAGGGTACCCACCCAAAGGGTGGTCATCCCCACGGCCATGGCAAAACTGGCATCAAAGCCGCCTGCGCAAATCTCACTCCAAAGGCTGTTCCACCATCTTGGCGCGCCTGTTTTGAGGACCTTGTGTTGCGCATAGCTTGGGCCAGGGGGGATTTTCGGTAGGCCACACACCCTTTTCTGGATTGTTCAAAACCAAAAGGACCCAAAAGGAAACCCGAAGCCCTTGAGAACAGCTTTCCCAAAAGAGACACGCAGACATCCACTGAGCAGAGCTCCGTTTGCGTGCAGCAGCACGCATACAGTCCGGACCATGGCATCCATGGCCAAGAAGGCTGGAGTGTGAAATCTCGGTGCATCCTGAATACCCCGAACATGGTGGTTTCGTGCTGTCTGATGGAAAAAGGTGTGATAAAATGTGATAAAAGGCCAACAAATGGCCAAAAGGCGTGATGAGTGGCCAAGTTCAATATATCAATATACATTACATTGAAGGGAGAAACTTAAGGGAGGCCGCACTCTGCGGAGTGGCAATGTTGGAGGGTGAGGGGACAACGCACAACACCTCTACGGGGTTTCAGGATTCTGCAGGGTTTTCCCTGATGGGTGTGGTTTGAGGGCAACTGCCCTACCCGACCCGCACATTCTGACTGGAGCAAGTCACGCTTGCGGGATGTGGCAAGTCTCATAACAACGCTCCATTTATGACACGTTATTTTATCAACGCCTGCGTCAAGTCTTGAAAAAACACGAATGCGTTAACACCCGAAGCCTGGAGCACATCGCCTGCAGCTGCTCTCATGTGCAAAGGACGCCAGGGGATTTGCTGCCAAGAACGCCCTTACGAGACTCTCATTTCATTCTCCGGTTGGATACCCTGGCTTACAGCTCGAGATACCAAATGGTCCCGGTATCTGGGGGTACCTCAGTTTCCCCCTTCGAGTGTGTTTTCACCTCGATGAGCCAAGGGTTGACGTTAGAAACAAACAACTTCCGGATGATTCTCCCCAAACTGGTCGGGCTGGCAGTTCGGCCAACGCGGTGGATGTAGCGGGTGACCTGAAGCGAAGCTGCCCCAAGGATTCATTTTGGAGTTTGACAGTTGCGTGTCCATCAAACTCAATGAGACCCATTCAATGTGAGCAACTTTGGTTTCATGAGATCCGCTCTCAATATGGGTTCCGAGGGCTCACCCCTCAGAAACGGGGCTCCCTCAAGATCGTAAAGGGTTGTGGACTCCCCCCCCATTTTGCCATGTGCCGAAGTCTTGGACACCCCCTAACAATAATTCGCTGCTTGGATCTTTGGTAGGCTTGGCAGAAGGGAACCAAGGAACCAGCAAGCAAATGGAGCATGGGTGGTTTCAAACATGCCAAGCATATTTCAATCTTAAGGGTCCATGACCATCTTCAGCAGGTGAGTTGTTGCACACTCCTCGGTGGTGTCGATCCTTACAACCGCAGTCTGCTGTCAAAATGAACCAACACGTAGCTAGTAAGCCTGTAACACTGTAGTTGAGAACCTTAGCCTAACGTTAGGGTCATCACATGTCATCCCTCATCTCCAATTCTGCTTAGCAAGAAATGCCCGCTTAGAATTGACCGTTGTCCCAGAAGTTCAACGAAGCAACCACTGGTGATCGTTTGAGAATAGGTTGAAGACAATGCACCCTCGATTCCTCTGGTCATTTGCTTTGCCTGATAGAACTGTTCAACTCGAGCTATTCTGAGGATGGTTTGACCATGCAACCAGTGTGTGTGTGTGTGTGTGTGTGTGTGTGTGTGTGTGTGTGTGTGTGTGTGTGTGTGTGTGTGTGTGTGTGTGTGTGTGTGTGTGTGTGTGTTTGTTTTGTTGTGTGTGTGTGTGTGTGTGTGTGTGTGTGTGTGTGTGTGTGTGTGTGTGTGTGTGTGTGTGTGTGTGTGTGTGTGTGTGTGTGTGTGTGTGTGTGTGTGTGGGTGTGTGGGTGTGTGGGTGCGTGCGTGCGCGCGCGCGCGCTGCGCGTGCGCGTGCGCGTGCGCGTGCGCGTGCGCGTTCGTGTGCGCGTGCGCGTGCGTGTGCGCGTGCGTGCGTGTGTGTGTGTGTGTTATGTGTGTGTGTGTGTTATGTTGTTTTCGCGAGGGTACCCTTTTCAGCTTAAATCGAACCGTGGCTGAACCATGCCATGGCGAAGCAAGGGGTAATAGGGTGAGCCCAACAAAAACAATGGTGGTTGTCCTTTATGTCACTATTCTTTAAGCCACCTCTTGGCGTCCCTTCACAGCACACCAAAGGGGTTGGTTGACCTTGACACATGAGGCCACCCACATCCGCCGGCAACTGGAAGTTGATCACGGTCTTCGTGTTCGGCCTCGGAGCCCGAAGAGCGTGCCGCTTCTTTCCTCCAGGCCGTGGCTTTCTCTTGAGGCTGCCCATTCCGGGACCCAGGCCCCCGGATATCGGCAACATCCCATGCCTAGGGCCGTGGCCTGGATGGCACCCCCATGCATGCCCTTGCAAACACACCCAGTGTCTTGTGGAGCTGAATGCCATGCCTCTCTCTCTCTCTCTCTCTCTCTCTCTCTCTCTCTCTCTCTCTCTCTCTTCAGTCGCCCTGTTCCGCATCTATCACAAAGTATCACTGGACAGGAGTTTCGATGACCGGCGCAAAATCCCAACCCATGCGTTGGATCCCATCATTTTGAGAGGGGTCCCCCGCCAGAATCCCAGGAGAAAGGTCCCCAATAGACCCGTTCCTGAACGCCCTTATGTCCAGAATCGGCCCCCGTGGGGGGAGGGCGGGGGGAGCGACCACCATAGGATTGGATAGTCTGATCTGGGCGGAACGCGACTTGGCTTCCAGGCAGATCCAAGCCGCGAGATGCAATGTCTGTGGCAATCAGGAAGTCTGCCTGTCGGATCCCAACACTCCATGGAATATTTACCCACACTGTCCCTCCAAATGTGTCAACTGTTGGTATTGTCTACCTGCATCGTGCATGTGGACATCTGTCAAAGCCTGTTCACCTTTCCCAGCTTGGGCACAAGCTTTCCTGCTCCGTCTGGACTGTCTCACCTGCCTTGTTGCTCTGGAAGCTCTGCAAAGAAGCAGCGCGCTCGCCCTGAGCGCTCGAACGGGGATGCCTCCAGCTTGCAAACCGGCTCAAGGCCAAGCGAGAACAAAGGAGCTGAGCCAAAACGAGGCCTGAACACTCTGGGATAAGCCAGAATTAACAAATGTCATCCATGTCAAGAAGACACCGGTGCAAATACACATAATATGATTGCGGGATACAGTGGTACGAAACACGTCCGGTAAAAACCAAAAAGCAACAAATTCTCAATATCGTCCTTGCAGCGCCTTGCACCCTGGCAGATTGCCGGAGAACCCCCCCCCTAAAACCTGATCCAACGACCCCATTCAGCTGTATCTCTGGGAGTTTGACCCTTTTGGGATAGGCATTCCCCCAATTGTCGTATTCAGGGGTTCAAGAGTGTCGAACCTCCGGTTAGACACAGCTAAGAAGAGAGAGAGAGAGAGAAAAAACAAGAAAGAAAGAAAGAAAGAAAGAAAGAAAGAAAGAAAGCAAGCAAGAAAGAAAGGAAAGAAAGAAAGAAAGAAAGAAAGAAAGAAAGAAAGATAACACAGACAGAGCGAGAAAGACAAAGAGAGAGAAAGAGAGATAGAGACAAAACGAGAGAATCCCAACAAAACAAAGGGGGAGGAGGGGACTGGTCTCGCGTCCCCCAAGGCCCCCCGCCTGCGAGAGCTCCCCATGGATCTCCGCGAACTTGAGGCGGCACAGGCCGAAGATGATGGCCAGGCGATGGGCGACCTCCGAACCCCGAGGCTGACAAACTCAGAGAGGCCCTTGGCTGAGCCACCCCCCCAAAAGGAACCAACAAACATAGAAAACGCAGGAGGTTTACACCTGACAAAACCATGAACCGCCCTGGTGTTCGGCAACGGACCTTCCTTTTCACCGTGGTTTTGGGGCTTGACTGGACAGGTTTTTGAGCCAAGGTCAAAGTGGATGAATAGCTTCAGGCCGCTGGGAGCTGCTGCATCACTCCAGACAGGCCGTGCATGATGAGCACGGTGAGGTAGCGCAACTCAACAAATTGGGTTAGTAAAAACCTTACCCAACAAGTCAATGAAGTTCCTTGAGCTTCCAACCAGGCCGTTTCTTTCCAAAAGCCCGCGCTTCGAACTTCGCACCGCCTGCTTCGTGGAGCAGAAGACGATGACCTTGGAGTCGTAGTTCCGCGACACCAGGCCTGCGTCTCCCAGTCGCGACACGAGACCCGAACCACTTGGCCCTGGGCCCCGGAACTGAAAGCTCCAAGCCCACCGGGGAACAGCCGGACGTGGTTTTCTCGAAGGGCTCCAGACGGAGATTGCCATTGGGACCTGAGATGGTCTCAAATTATAAAGAGAACAAAATTGAGCTGCGAAAGAAAAAAAACGGCTTCGCCTTTGATTTCCCCCTTGAACTGAGCCAAACAATGTTGTAAGAGGGGGGGCCCTCAAAGAAAAACACTCCCATAGATCTTTCCTGCCAGGGGAATTCAGTGAAAGACACCACAAGGGTGCTTGCGCTTGGGCCTTTTCCATGCCAAACAAGGCCCTGACCGTTGGGGTGGTCTTGTGGGGGTGGTGGGTGGCAGGGTGTGTGAAAAAGGACCGCACATCCCCGCAAGTCCATTCGTCTAGTCTTACCCACAAAGGGGACAATGCAATCACAAATGGATGCCCAAAGTCATCCCCTTTCCCAATTCCATTTTTAAACCACCAAAGATTTGTCGAGGCGCTTGCTAGATTCCCCGAAAAGGAACTGTCCATTTGCGAAAATGTGTTTCCTGGAAAAAAAAACAACAACATATTACACATATTATCATAATTAATAAGAATATTCCAGTCTTCCAGTCCTGTGACATATGATTCGTTTGACACCAGGGAAACAATTGAGCATCTTAATCGACGCGACCCATGCGGAAAGCTTAGGCCCTGGCTCAAGAGGGCTGCCTCTCTCAGCTCCGCGCTGGGCGCCTTCACAAACTCCTCGGCTCGAAAGATTCGATGGATTCGATCCCAAGCACGAAGGATTCCCGGCCGGGGGAAGGGAGCAGGGCTATAGGCATACGGTGGGTGCGGGTGGGTGGGGGTGGGTAGGGGTGTGGGGGAAGCTGTGTACCCAAAAGGAAACTGAAGGAGGAACAAAAAGTCAAATGCCTGGTGCTTAAATTGCCCAGAAGATGTTGGAATCCCACACTTGACCCACTTTCCCTCACCTTCGGGAGGTTCACTCCGACGCTCCTGCTCCAGCGTCTGCGCCACGGCGTTCACGGGGCTCGCATGGACTCGTTCCGGCTTGATCTCAGCCAGAAAAAAAAAAGACCACAGATCAACACGATGCACATGTGGCCGCCGCGGTTTTGAAACCCAGACCATCTACCGGGTCCCTAAACAGCAGTCACAGTGACTCTGGGGGAGAAAAAACAGGACGACTTGCGCGAAAAGCAGTTCCAATTCCTGGGGAACAAGACCAGAACCACCTTCGCAACCGGATCCCTCCAGGCACCCTTTGCGATTTTTTTTTGGGAGCAGCCCCCCCTTCAGGGTATGAGGTACTGGCTAGGTGGCTTCCTGTGGGCTTCCCCAAAAACCGACCCAAAAGGGGCGCAAGTACCCTGCAAAGCAGACACCCCCCCATCCAAATGGGGGTACCGCCCGAAATAGTGTACGGGCCTTTGCTTTCCCTCTAAAGCCAATCCAAAAGAAGAAAAACCTCCAAAGGCACCACACTTGGCCAACCTGGGGCCACAAGCCAGCGCCAAACCCGCGAGATCCTCCACCGAAGCGTTCATGGTGGCGGAGAATAGCATCGTCCTAGGGACATGATGCCTGACATAGGGACCCCTATAGGTGGGCTTTCCTCGTTTCCCTTTAAACCCCATTTTGGGCACTCAAAAACATGGAGTTAGACCCACCGAATTCAGATGTCCACCCACTGGCCCCCTATGGGTGTGCCTCCAAAACCGGTGGTTTCCGATTTGGTTTCTTTCCAAAGCCCAAACAGGATGCTCTTGAAAAAGCCCCCCCCCCAAACAAAAAATTGGGGGACACCCTGTTGGATGGCGTGAACGGGGAAGCACTGCTTTGAACCTTTTTGGGCATGGAGATCGAGATATTGTTTAAATGGGTGCAGCTCCCCCGTTTTGGAGGCAGCGGGCCGCTTTTTGCTCGGAGCTGAACTGGTCATGGGGAACCACGCTGCCCAAAACTTGCGCTCTAGTCCAATGTCAAACACTTTGCCTGAGGTCCAACGAAGAGAAGCCAAAGACCAATCAGGCGGGCGAGTCTGTGCCCCATTGAGACCCTCAAAAATCTGGGCCCAGCGCTGTCGACCCTGTGAGCAGCGCTTGAGAACCTCCAAGGGCGGGATGCTGTCGATGGAAACAGATGCTTCACACACACACACCGCCAAAACCCACCAAAAAAAAGCACAAATGGCTTTTCAAGGAAAGGGGGTGGTAGGATGGATAAAGCCCTGCAATTGGGATTAGAATCCAGACCAACGGGCGCAAGAGGACTTGAACCCTCCCTCCAATCAGACGATGCTTTTAGACAACTTGCTTTTGGACCGGCCCCAACGCCCATGGCTCATGCCTGGAAAGAGGCCAAAACAACTTATCTAAAACTTTCCTGAGGAATTTCTGATCGCCGCAAATCGTGAACGCCTAGACCGCGGTCTCTCGCACTCGCGTCTCGGCCGGCCTCCAGGCACTCTTGCCGGAAGCCCATCTCCAGCAGCCTATGGCTAGTCAAAATATTTGTTGACCTTTTGGTTGCAACGAAAATCAAGGTGAAAGGGTGCCCTCACAAACAAACAAACAAACAAACAAACGAACGAACAAACAAACAAACAAACAAACACACAGACACACAGACACACAGACACACATGTACAGAGACACGAATCCACACTACACCCCGAATGAACCAGAGCGCAACTGACCCAAGTGGAAAATCCAACAAACTCGGAGAGGGTACACCCAGCCCTCCAGCAATGCGCAAGAGGTGCCAGGTTTGGATCAGTCTCGCCGTTTTGCGAGGACACCCCTTTGAAGCGAGATGATAAAAGGGAGTCCCTGATTTCACCCGAATGGAGGGGATTTGGGGTAATTTCGGGGCAAGGGGGGAATTTCTCGCTGTCATGCAAGGGCCACGTCCGCGAAATCCAATGACTACGACGACCAAATCTCACCTGTGAAGACCGGCAACCTAACCTCTCCCCAAGTTGGCAATGCCAGGAGCATCCACAAGCCCACCACCGGCCCCACGCGCGCCTATCCGCTTCGTCGAAGATCACGATCTCCAGCAGCTCCATGTGAACCTGAGGCCAAAGATCAGAATATGGGCTGCCATAAAGAAGCCAGGGGGGCGCGTGTTCAAAGGGAAACCAACAACAAACCAAGCATCATCATGGGTTCCCCAATTCAATTGTGGACACCTCTATATCATGACGTACCAATGAATCATACTATGATGGGCATGGGACAAGCTAGGAAACTTCCCCCCCGCCCCCGGGCCCTCCCAAATAATTAGGATAGGCGACCAATATCTTGACCATGGGTGCCAGAATTCCTTGAGGTTTGACAATGTTTGACACCACAGGCCATTGCCGGGCGCCCAAGCATTTGCCCCTCCCGAGGCCTTGCAGCCCGAAAATGGGACCTCGACCCTCAAAGCAAACATTTGGACATCCCAAAATCATGGGGTAAAGAAGATCATGATTCAACGCTAGCTTCAGGATCCAGCCAAAATAAGGGTACCCCCCTCCCTCCCCCCCCGATCAGCGCTTAAGTAAACGCAACAGAACCGTGAAGACCACCCTCGGGGCCCGGGCGGACTGGGAGTTCATCAAATGGTCCAGCAGCCGGCCAGGTGTGGCCACCACCAAATCCGGCTGGTGCCGCAACGACGCCGCCTACCGCCGGGCCTTTCGTTTTTCTTTGGCGGGGGGATGGTGTCTTGGGGTTGTGATGTTTGGGGTTTAGGGGACCACTGCACCTGAAATCACCCATTCTGAACCCAGGGATCCTTCTCCGAAAGCCGCAAACCAGGCGGATCTTTTGGCACCGAGAGCTGAAAAACTTGGAATCCAATCCTCAACCACGCTCAACTGGCGGAAAACGAGCGGAAATAAGCCCCTTTCAACTCATTGCCCAAGAAAGCCATTAAGGAAACACGTATAGTATAACCGTCCCTTCATTTCCATACATTACTTTGAGAGGCAAAGAGAGGGAGATGTGCATGATACAAAGAACAATAACAAATCGTAGTACTCATGCTAATGCAAATACTACTAATAGCTTACAATCAGTGACTTGCAGAACTGAGTGGCTAGCAAAGTTCAAGCTTCTTTAGCCTTGAATAACAGGATGAAGCAACCTGCCACCAAAAAAGTGTAGTTTGCTTCAACTCAATTGATCAGATCATAAACATACAAATAATGATGTGTATTAATAATAGTATTATTATCCTGACGAAACGACCATCTTTGCAGCTTTAAGCTAATGCACTGCAGAACCCTGACCTTGCCATGGGTGCAAGTTGCCCTCTGGCGAATGCTTGTGCATGGTTTGTCAAATGTGCACATTGCAACAACCGACGTAGATCAGCTCCTATCAAACATCCCAAACTCGAAAGGGTAAAGCTCTGGCGTTTTGCAACGAGTGCCTTGTTGATTGGATTCGCCAGCGATACCATGAGATGTAACTTCAACACCAATTTCTTCTTCAATGTGCCCCCCGGCAGCACTTCTCTGGAAGGTAGCCCTGATGTTGCAAACCAGCGTGTTGACAACTATAGCACATCTGACACACATGCAGAATTGACAGGTCCTGAGCTTAGTGCTCGCATGCCTCAGCGTCTCCTTTTGAGCGTTGCAAGAATTCACATTTGCAGACCTGGACGACTCCATCCGGAAAGAATAAGCCCGGCAGATTCGGAGTGCCCAAAACTCACGCGTGAATGGTGAGCAACAAGGCCACAAGGCTCACTTCCTCGACCTGCTCAAAATCGCTTGGCCCATCCTCTGCATTGATCCTATTCAGAAGGGACAACCAAAGGAAGCCAATCCTTTGGTAACCCAAAGGAAGGATTGAGCCTACAGCCCAGTTGAATGGTTTACGGTGAATGGGAGCTCAAAGGAAACCTATAACCTGAGGGTTCCCTATAGGTCTAGGGGTACCTTCCCCGTTCTTTCCATGCATCCTTTCTAGAAAGCCCCGGAAACCCAGGGAAAACGGCGATCGGTTTTTGGAAAGAACGATGGTTGACAAGAATGGGGAATCAACCCCATCCAAAACATGGGCAACATTCGGCAGACTCATCGCCTGGTCGTGCGCCACATACCCTCCAGCAACCTGTGTGCCGAGCTCGCGCGACTAGAAACCCAAGCACCATTCAATGGACATTCCCCAAGCTTAACTCCCTCCCTCCCTCAAACTACGCTTAAACCTCCCTGAAACTACCCCTAAACAGGGTAGTTTCCCTCTTTTGGGGGTAGTTGAAGTGTCGAGGTCCTTTGTAAGGCTTTCTTTCTTTCAAGCCAACAGTCCCTTCCTGCCCAACGTCTTACTTGTTTGTTGGTTTGTTTGTTTGTCGTTTGTTGCAAAGCTGAAACCGCCATTGGGAACAGCTATGTTCCAAAAACGGCAGCAGACATGGAGAATTTCAACCAAGTCTTGCCAAAGGGCAGCACAAAGAAACGTCAAAATAAGTCAAGCAATAGGAAAGGAAATTGGAAGGAGTGAAGTGATGGAGCATGAAATGGCAGAATCTCAGTGAATCGTAGCAAGGGTGGTCTCAGTTACAATGGCCTGAGTGAAACATCCACTCTGAACTCACGCGACGATGCGCAAAGCGACGAAGCGCCACATCTGCGGTCCAGGCAAGTTGGTAGGTGACCAGTGTGTACCTTCAGCACTCTGGTAACGCATGGCTCAGGATATCTGCACTTCCCTTTCACAAGGCGAATTACTCACGTCGCATTGTTTATCCTGGTGGCACGGCTGCTACGTGCTCTTGTCATGGAACCAGAACGCCGCAACCAAAGAAAATGATTCATCTTTCCAATATTGATATATTCTTAGTATTATTAGAGTTATGTTGTGCGAACATGTTATGAATCGCATAAATGGATGAAGTAAACCAGAAATACACAGACAAATTGAGCGGTGCCGAAAACTCTTGTGTAAAAGCGGTACCATGATTTTGCTTTTGCGGACCCTTTCGCGATGCTTGGCGACCACATGCTCTTCTTTCTCGGGCACGGTTTCCCTCAGGTTTGCTTTTGCAGCGCTGTCGCGCGGATGCTGCTGACACAGACGTCCGCAGGAGCCTGACAGTGCACTTCAGCCCCTGGAGCTAAGCGCAAAGGCAGAGAAAGCATCAGCCTGGACTGGGGCACCCCTTTCTGGGCTGGGTGTTGCTTTCTCGCGGCGTTGGCGGGGCTTTCGCGAGAATTGTGCTTCTTTTCTCAGAAAACGTTTACACCTCAATCAAAAACAGGAGAAACGTTTGATTATGCGGTCAGCTTTGACCTCCATGCGCATGCGCCAGCACAAAAAAACACAAACACTTGCTGCAATACATTTCGCGGGACCTTCTTCCAGGCACCTATGCAAAGAGATAACCACACACCCGCAGCCGGAGGATAATCTCTCTGGCACATCTGAGGTTTATTCTTGTCCCTGATGGCGGAAACCCAAACTGGCGGCCACTTTAACTCGGGGGGGGCTTTAGGGTTCCTCAGCAGAAAACGGTTCTCTCCAAACCCTCGGCCATTTCAAATGACCACCAGCGCCTCCCTTGACCTGACAAATGGGTTCTGAAATCGGATGCGAATCCACATTGCCCTTTGGCGGAAACCTTCTACTCGTTGATTAGAACCCATTCAACGGAACGATCCCCTGAGGCCATCCCCAATCGAATTCATCCATTTGCTTGAGTTCCCTGAAAAACGAGACAACATATTTTGTCGCGGACTCCGTTTAAAACCAATAACACGTCTTCCGAAATGATGGAAGGAATCCACTCGCTGAATTCGCGCACTTGGCCAGGTTTTGCAGCATCGCGTGACACTGCCTCAGTCGGCATGGGCACCACTCGCGATGGGCTTTGGCTGCCAATGAGCTTATGCCTGTGGCCTCTTTGAGGCTCGGTGCCCTCTTTGAACTGCACTTCCATGTGCGCCGACCAAGCTGGTTTGGTGCGTAGACCCAGCTTGGAAGGCTTCCAAAGGGACAAACATGTTGTGCAGTTCCACGTTTGTTGGCGGGAAGGTGACTGGTAGCCCCTTCCACCTCTTTGTCACAACCTTGCAACCACGTAGTATATTTGGCTGTGGGTCAAAATAGGTACCCAAAATGGCACCCTGGTAAATGGAAACAATAACTAAAACCTGTGGTCCCCGGTGGTTGTATTTTGACCCATACCCATTGGAAGTTCACCCACGAATCTTTCAGCCCCAAGGACCTCGCCAAAGCTGGCACCTGGCGCCCGCGCACAGCGAGCTCCCGCGTGGGGATCAAGACCACCGCCTTGGTGCCCACTGGTCCTGGCACTTGAACACCAGGCATTCTCCTCAAAGCTCAGGGTCTAAGTCGGAATCCCAAAATGGAACCCTGGTCGCCACTTGGCCGAGTTTTGAGGCTGGACGCCGCCCTTTTTTCAAGGACAAATGGAGCAACTGGCTAGATGAAAGAAGAGCCGTGCCGCCGGTCCCAGGGAAACCGTGGGTCCCACAAACTTCCTCCGAAAGCAGTGCGGCCTTGATGGAAACCTGATTGGGAGGATTTCGTCATTGTTTGAGTGACCCTGGCAGGAAAATGGAACCTCTTCTTTGGGTGTGACGATCTTCAGCCAGGGAAGCCACCCACCAAAAAGGGATTTAGAGGCTGCAACCGAACAAGTGGAAGCCTTTCGCCACCTGGATGTTGCTCAAAATGGGCGCGCGTTCCAAATGGACGGCTTCCGTTTGATTGTCCAATGGAACAAAAACACCCGAAGCAGGGGTTTTGCTTTCTATCCCCTAACATCATCCCAAAAGACAACCCAAAACCTGGGGACCCTATTATTCGAACAGTTCAAATTGTGCTCAAAAATGAGCCCTCGAACAAGTGACACATTCTCTGGTGCTTCCCTCAGATGTCACCTTTGTTTCAGATTGGACACAAAAGCCCGTGCCGCCAGCTCCGACCCAAAAGCGCCAGCCTAGGATGAGCTGCCCCGCGGCATCTCGACGCCGTGCGCGCACGCTGCTGCTTTGGCCTAACCGCCGAAGCCGGAGTCGAATCGGACCAAAATGGGTTAGGACGTCCCAACATGGGTGCAACTCCCCCTTGATTTGGAGGCTCGGTGCCCTGTTTGAGGCTGGTATTCAGGTACTGCCCTCAAATGACACCTGAACACTAAAACGAAAGTGGATTGTGCAGCTCAGGGTTTGGTCAGCTTGGTGGAAATTTGATGGCACTTTGTTCATTTCGGGTTTGACCACTCACCGATGCTAGCAATTTGTTCAACAGGACGCTTAGGCCAACAGGCTTGGGCTTTGACGGAGGGGCTTGTCAAAATGCACGAAGGCACCTAGGGTTGCATCAATAGTCTTGATCACGGGCTTCTCTCTTTTGGATATTTGGCTATGAATCTTAAGATGAAACCATTTCAAAAGTAGTTGGTGGACACTGAATGATGGCAAAAGGGCCCCCTTTCATACCTATTAAATCAAAATTGGGTGTCCAACAAAGGCGTTTTGTTTGCACCCTCTTTGGGGCGTCGCTTTAAGTCTGGTCCCACGTTTCCCAAAAAAGGGGAAGCCCATGGCATTGCCAATCCGGGACCCTCGGCGCCGGGCACAAGCGCTCCAAGGTGGGCAACAGGAAGGAGGCCGTCTTGCCGGAGCCTGTGTCGCCATTTCCAAATGGCGGGGGACCAAAGTCACCTGAGTCAAATTCAAAACCCGGTATCAAAATGGTCGACCCACCATGTAAAGAATTGAGAAGCCGGCCGCAGCTACTTATGGTTGGGATTGTCCCTTACTAACCTTCATCTACCCGGGTTTTGATTGTGGCTCACCTGGGCTGGGGTGTCCTTTGAGGATCCCAATTTTGAGAGACCCCCTACCCCATTTGGAAAGGCTCCACTAGCTGAGTTTCAATAGGGGCTCGCCACCCTGTACGGAAACCAGCGAAGGGTTATCTAAAGGGCTTGGGATCGAGCTGGGCAAACACACACCTCTGCAAATGCTCAAACGGAACCCATGTTTGCCTTCCAGGAGATCCCAACACAATTTTTTGAGCTGCATTTCGAATTGTTCCCAGGTCAATCAGGGGAGAAGATCCTAAGGCCTGGAGCGTAACCGCCAGGCCGCGAAGCTCCCAAAGTTGATCCCAGTTTTCAGCCAGAAGGACACCCAGTTTCCCTGTTTTCACTCTCGACCCTCAAACACGGGCACTGCCCAACGGTGTGAAGAGCACCCCCCCACTGCCCAACTGATTGGAGCTGAAAACCCTCGTCTTCGGGTCCATTTCGGGTTCTACAAGCCTGAAGCCTCAGGCTTCAGCACGCCTGTCTCGGCGGTGGCCAAAATGTCAGAGCCCTTCAGTGCCAGCGGGATAACGTCCCTGCGATCTCGGCACGTTTCCGTCTCGCGGAATCTCACCCGAGGAAACGAACATAGGACCCCTTGTCACAGGTGCCAGAGTTGTACCAAAGTCGTGCCCTCCGGAAATAAAAGTCTTGAGGAGTTTGTTTTCATGGGCGCACATTTCGGGTACAACCTCACGCATACGACTCTGGAACCCTTTGGATCAGAATGACATTCCTGTCACTTGTCCGGGGTGTTGCAGCCTTATCCTCACTCCCATGCACAAAACACCTTCACACCGTGGCGCGAGCCCCACCTCTGGATGGGCGTTGGACACTGGAACTGCAGCTCAGAACAAGCCTCCAGAAGCAGTGGGTGTGACGCCCTGGAGGCGTTGAACGAATCACACGCATGGTGATGATGTTTGCCAACGCTTGACCATAGATTTGGGCATGATGTTAGGGGTGGCTCCGTGGCTTCCCTAAGAGTTCTTTTGGGTGGCTCTTCAGCTTCCCTATGTACCTAGGTCCTCCAGAGAGGTCAGAATAAGGGTACTTTTTTTCCTGTAGTCTATAAAAGGGGAGAGAAGGGCACTACTGGGGGACCCAGCTACATTTATTTGGGGATTCCAAGTTTCCCTAGCTCCTTGGCTCCCTCGTCGCAACTGAAAAAGAGCTCCGTGGGAACTTGAGCCGCCGGCCCTGAGAAGCGGCCTGGCGCTGGCCATACCCAAAATGGACATCACCAAGGGCCCGTTGGCACCTTTGGTTTCCCATTGCATCCCCCAAAACATGCAGCTTGCTTCAAGATTTTGCGCGGGCTTTAAAAAAAACACCTGCGGACACATGCATGTGTGTATTCCGTGAAGAACAGCACCGACCCGGTTGGATTTTCAGCCTCTTTCCGCCCACAGAAAACCAGACACCGACATCTCCCCCCGCGCTTGGAGAGCCGGAGGTCCGCGAAGTGCAGGTCGGTGCGGAGGTGCTCCGGTGTGCCTTCCGAGTGCCACCCCCGGCCCCGAGGCTTCGTGTCTCCCATGTCTCAGGGTATTTCCAGGGGCCATTTGAGTGATCCAAACCCCAAAGGAAACCAACCGCCCGGGATTTTCGGCCCTGGTGAGGTTTTTTCCCGTCCAGATTGATCAGAGGAACTTCCATATGGAAAGGGCTAAACAGGGAGCGGAATCGCCCAACCCTGAACCAGAGTTGCCTCAGGAAAGGTGGCCCGTAGTGCGCTTTGCGCTTGGAACAGCATGCCGAGTGGCCTTTGACTTGAGTGGAACATGCCCAAACCCATAAACCAACCAACGTGTGTTGAACAAACTGAACCATATGGCTATGGGTCAAAACCCCGGTGCCCCAGTGAACACCCAGAACGCCTTCTAAAAAGACAACAGTGGAGTGGTAACCATCCACAAACAGGCACCTCAAGTTTTGACCCACAACCATATAGTTCTACGAGACAGTTTCAAGACAACTCAAGGTCTACATGGTCGGCCGCCTGGCCTTCCTCGGCAGGCCTGAAAACGCGACACATCCGACTTGCGACAAGAATCTTCGATTTGCGTAGGCCCCCCTGGAAAAATGCACATATTTCCAGTAATGATAGATGCCTTGTAAAACCAACAGGGGAAATTAAACATATTCCTAAGCGTCATACATCCTCCATACTGTTCGGCCTGAACTTTGGTTCCAGGAAACCGTATTGCAACGGTGATGATGTTTGAACTTGCTATTCCAACAAGGTGGATTCCCCAATGCCTGTTGCCAATCCTTCTTCTGAGAAACCGCTCAGATTGCGATCTTGGGGAATCCATTTTCCGCATCTTGGGATACCTGAAAAGGGACCGACAACGGGAGAAAACAACGGCCCGGGAAAACCATGTTGGCCCATGCAAGAAGCCTACAATCACACAGGATTCGGCTTCCTCTTAGTTGGAGGTTGGATTTGTGGTTGGTAGTAAGGAGGTTTCCCATTCGCCCTGCAGCTACTCGAGCCAGCAAAACCTTTCGAGCATCAGCCTCCGGGATGGGTTTCTTTGACGCATGGAGCCATGATTTGCGGTTGCCACCAAGGCAATTGCCGCCCTTGTTCACTGATCCAAATGAAATCATCACAGCCCACGTGAATCTGAAGGGGCCCTTTGTTCCAAACCATCTAGGTGACGCATGTCCAGCCGCCACTTTTGAGGTGGTTCCCAATCAAAAATCATAGCCATTGGTGCGTCCTAACTTGACTCACTTCCTGAGTGGATTGGCCGAAAAAAGTCTAAACTTCCTGCTTACCACTTAAACGTTCCAAGCCCAAAAAGTGACTAAAGTCCAGGAACTAGCCCAAAAAGTGACTAGGAACTCGTTTGGAGTGAGTTGCAACTGCTCCGGTCGATCCGCCGATCCGCCGATCGAGGCAGGGGCATCTCCGGCTCCTGGTGCTGCAAGCCGAAAGCCGATGTTCCAAGCGGAGGTACGGGCTGGGGGGGGGGGTTCTTCCTTTTTGTGTGTCTCTTTCTTTTTCTTGATCGTTTTTTTTTTTGGGGGGGTGGGGGTGGAGGATGAGTAATGAATGCTTGGTTTCCTTTTAGTATCCCATCCCAATCTACTGGTGGAGGTCCCCAAACTGTGTTTAGACCCAGAGACAGAGAGAGATAGTGAAAGAGAGAGAGAGAGAGAGAACGAGAGACAGAGAGAGAGCGAAAGAGAGAGAGAGAGAGGGAAAGAGAGAGAGAGAGAGAGAGAGATAAAGAGCGCTCAAAGCCCCCAAAAAAGAGTCAAGAGCGTTCGAAAGCATCATATGGGTGTGTCTTTTCTTGAGGGTACCTTTTTTGATGTTGCCACCATATTGGGATGTCCCAAACAAAACAGGACGCACCCATATGGCCAAAACTTCTTTGGATGGTCATGGTTGCCTCTTTTAGCCCTAATACCTCTCGCATGTGCATGGATTGATGGATGGCTGCGACGTTTCCCTGCAACCAAAAGAGGCGACTCACAAAACGGCACGCCCAAACCGCTACGGTTTTCTTCGGTTCCCTTCAAACCGCCCTAAAAGCAAGTACCTGTATTGAGTCTTTTCCGGGAACTCTTTCGGCAGGCATCAAACTTTCTACACTTAAACCCAAGGGCTTTTGTTTTGGGGACATCAACCACCCCTGAGTTAAGTTTACCTTGGGGCAATCAAACAATGGAACCCTGCCCATACAAGGCCGCAAACAGCGAGCTTGCTGCTCGCTCCTCCTCTGGCTCTGGCGCAGCCGTGGCCAGCTTCTTTTTCCGCTTCTTTCCCTGGCACCAACTGCAATGCCCGGTAGACATGCCCGGCAAGCAAAAAGGCAAGCAAACACACGACCGCATCCCGAACAACAACCACACCATACTAAAAGATACACGCAAAGAAACACCACTTCACTAAGTTGCTCAGCTCTGGACTGAGGTCATAGCAGGCTTTTTCTCGTTCTCTTCATCCTGTCCTTGTAGAACTTCCCTGGCATGTGGAGCAGTCCAATCGCTGAGATGTCAATTCATAGGCTTCGCAAGTGCCAACATCAAGCCTCCAACTCAGCCACGTGCCCCCTGAGTTGTTCCATTATCATACCTACTGTACGACATATTTGTGGGGCATGTGTAGCCCTGCAACCAACACTCTGCGCGCAGCAACAAGCGGATGGCGGCCTGATCTTCTCGTGAAGAAACGAACTGGAAGTTCCAACTGCGTCCTGCCAAGGCGCAAATCGGAGTTGCCATTTGAAGCCTGTTTGGTGTTGCTACAAAAGGAGGGCCGGCTGTAACCCCTACCAACCAAAGGACAGTTGCTTTTTCAGCGAAGCCAGAGGCCGGATTGGACCGGCTGCTTGCGTGGCGCGTCGGTTGGCATGTGCAACATCTTAACAAGAAACGGATCTGGAAAATCATCTAAGCCTAAATCGCCCAAAGCAAAAACACCAGGCCTTCAGAGCCTGCCAAATTTGGGTGACCCATGGGTTCGATTGGATGCTTCACAGATTGCCCTTTGGTGCATGCCTTCTAGAAGCCGCTGATTGGAACCCGTTCAACGGCTCCTCTGACAAGGGGCCAAATCCCCACCTGGACATGGATCGTGGACTGTTCAGGTAAAGTGTCCTTGAGAAAAAGAACAGCACCTTGGTTGTCTAGGCATGCCTTTGTTCTCCCAATGGGCGGTTGTTAGTTCCGCCCAAAAAATCACACAGCACCACCCACATGGTGTTTCATTGTTTCCTCCATTTGGGCGTTGGTTTCACTCACATGGATTCTCACTTCCAGAGCGGACAGCCCATGTGGGTGGAACCGCCCCAAGTGGAAGATTCGCCGCTGTCTGCTTCCGAGCGAGCGCCCGAGCTCCTCCGTGGCGTGTTTCCCGAAGTCCCAGGCTGGCGCGCTCGCCGAGCCGCGGCTCGCCTTCGCGGCCGGCGCCTTTGGCGCCTTCGGCGCCCTCGTTCTCGGCGCCTGGGAGGGGAAGGTGAAATCGGGTTTTTATGAAGACCCTTTGAGTGTTGTTTCCTTTTTGCGAAAGGGTTTGAAACAGTATTTCGGGAGAGAATAAACAGGCCCAATCCCACCAACAAGAAGAGATTGTTTAAGTCCCCCAGTCCCAAGGGCAAAGCGGTGCCCTCGGCTGGCCAAACACGAACCAAAACAGGGTGCCAGTTGTAACAAGGTAAAGAAACCCAGCAAGGGCAGAGACAACCGAAAGCAAGCACAAAGCAGCAAACCAAGCAGGCAAACAATGCAGCGAAGCAAGCAAAGCAAACCAGTGCACACCAACCCCAACCAGACCCCCGACCAACCTCCACCGGGAACACCACCACAGGCGCTCGGCAGCGGCACTCTTTGCCGGAGACGAGCACGATGTGCCGCGGTGCGCGGTGACGAAATTGCAAGGGCAAGTTGCCGGATTGAAAAGCTTGAGCCAAACGGCGCGTTGGCCGTGGCGTTGAAACATGTTGCGATAAAACTACATGCCCCCAAAAACACCCCCCTCGCCTGTACAAAGAGATGGAGTGAATTTGGTAAGGCGCATTGGCCATTTGAAGTTGAAAAGCAAATAAAAAGAACAAAGACGATTAGACTACCAGGGTTCGCGACCCCATACCCGGGCCCGCTTTGGAGCCCGGATCCCGCCACCACCCCGAATTACGGGTATGGAGCGGATCACGCCGGTAGCCAAATCAACCAAGAAAAGCAAAAGAAAGAGAGAAACAAAGATTCAACTCCAAGATGGCAGGCATGAAATATCTGCACTGCAACCACATTGGATCATAAGATACAAGTGGATTTAGTTTCTGAATTCGTGATTCAGGCGCTTTGGCCCACTGGTTGAAACATGGTGCTTCGACCACGAGACCCTGGTCTTTAAATTAGCACCGTCTAGGCGCGGGATCACACGAAGACCTTCGGTAAAAATACCACCAGCTGCAGTCAGCGGTCCAGGTCCGAGTAGGACCTCACCAGCAGCGGTGCAGCGCATCCGTGATCCTCACCACGGCACCTTGATGAGCTCCATCACCAGCAGCAGCAGCGGTGCTGGAGTAAGCGGATCACCAGCGGCCGTAGACGCCGCCGAGGATGACTTCCTTGCTGCGGCGACGCACACCTGACAGGTAATCGCTGCTTGCGCGAATAGCGCACAGCTGCGCATGCAGTTGAATTCTGAAATGGCGAATAGCCCAAATGCAAAGATACTACAAGGAGCATAGTCCATTATGTTAATTCCGGAATGAAAACACGCGCGCGTTGGCGCTGCCACGCAACGGATGCAGACGGACATCAGGTATCACCGATGTCGCCCGCCGCCGTGCCGTCCCCTCCCCTTGTTGACGTTCCAGTCCCCAGGAGGAGGAGGCACGGTCTCGGCCAACTCATCATCCGCACCCCAGGTAGGGGTATGCGGCGAGTTCGGATTCTCGAACTCACGGGGATCACCCTGCATGTGCGGCTGCCAACCCTGCGGCATTGCGCCAGGCCACATTTGCGGCATCATGCCAGC